AAATACACATTAAACATAAATGCATGTTAAAGGTGAAACAACCTAGATAGAATTAAAAAACACTTCAGTTTTATGCTCTTTAAAACCCAGACCTAAAATATCAGGACACTGAAAGTTTAAAAGTAACTGCTGTTTCATTAAATAAAATTAACAGTTTCACAGGAAAAGCAGCAAAAAATTGCCAGTTCTTGAGTTTGGTTGGTGTTGTCTTGTCATAATCAGAAGCAGGAAATTCAAGAAAAAGATTAAGTTTGGAAAAATAATAATGAATTCATTTAGACAATCATAAAATGTAAAGTAAAGGATAAGGTACATAGTTTAATTGAGTGAAAGAAAGCTAGAATAAATAAGAGCTGGGAAGAGGTCTGTGTGGTACTACAGTAGTTCTCAAACTTGGTCAAGAACCAGTGTACTTGACTATTCCACAGGTGGCTGAGCCCACAACAGTTTCTGATCCAGTAGGTGTAAGGTGGGGCCTGAGGCTCTGTATTTCTAAAACACTTCCAAGTGTTGTGGATGTTACTCCAGACTTGAGAACCTCCTTCTACTCCTCAGTCTCAGGAACGCAGATGACAGCAGACCACACTTTACAGTTACCTGAGAAGCTGCAGATCCATACCTGTAATGGGGCTCAAACCTGCTTTATTGAATCAGAATCTCTATTTAGTTGTTTTAAATTCACTGTGTGAATCCAGTCAGTTAAAAAGTTAACATCATTCTTCAGGTCTTCTCATGTTAAAGAAATTAAAAATCTGGGTTTTTGCATGCATGTTTTAATTTGTATAGCACTGTACTGTTTCCATAAAAAAAAAATAATAGCTTGAAAGTTCGCAAACCCAGCTACAAGAGTAGGTGTGACATTTAACTTATGGATCCAACAAGCAGCTAAAATGTAAAGACAGAACCTGGAAAAATTTGAATTGTGGCCACAGTTCTGGGTCTGTAAAACTGTCAAATGTGGGAACAAATTCAAGCAAGCAAATGCAAACCAAAAGTTTGATATTGTCCAAGTAAAAATATGTATTAAAAAAACTAGTATCATTCACAAACATCATTAATTATTGTATTTTTTGCAATATAATACTCATTTTTCGTGCAAGTAAATCTGTATACAAAGCACTTTAGGGTTTTTTGTTTTAATTCCAAGTTACAAACTGGAAGCTTATATTTATTTGAACATAATACTTACACATTAATAATAAATCTAAATATATGCAGAATGACCTGTACATGACCAACGACAGAATGTAATTTTGCACATCTCTGAACTTGAGCTTTATTGTATTAGTTTCCTGAGGTCACTACAACAGTTATTTTAAGCTTGGTGGTCTAAAATATACACAGTTATTCTCTTAAAATTTTAGAGCCAGACTCACTGGCTGATATCACCCGCAAGGTTTAGAAAAACATACTTAAACGAAAAACTATTATCTTACAGAAACTTAAATATACTCTTTCTTTTAGATACCTCACTAAAATCAAGTGTCCTGATTGTATCAGGTAAGAAAGGCTCTACCATATCTCAATAACATAAAGCGATGATAGGATATGTGAGAAACAGGGGGAATAAGAGTTGGTGAAATTTGGTAAGTTGAGAAGAGTGGAAGATGGACAGAAATTAGCTCACTAACACATACACACACACATTAAATTTCTACTTCTGTTTTTAAAATCAGTTTATCAATCAAGCACAGGTTATCTCACCACAAACAAGTTCTACTTTTTCCAAAATATTAAAACCTGATAGTCAGTATTAAAACTCAGTTTTTATAAGAATGATATGGTACCTGATAAAAGTATAGTCATCAAAAATATAGAGACATGTACACTGCTGGATTAAATATCAGGCAGACTCATCAGCCATGCTTAAGGCAACAGAGAAGGGTCAACAGGATGTGGGCTGTGGCTACACATGAAACTCAGCTTCAGCGAATTGTCAAAGACTTTGAAATCAGAAAATGTGAGAGAAAACATCTTAGTCCATTTGGGCTGCTTTGACAAAAATTCCAGAGACTAGATACATGGCTTAAAGAACAGAAATGTATTTGTCACAGTTCTGGAGAGTGGAACATCAGGGTACCAACATGGTCCTGTTCAGTGAGGGCCCTCCTAAGCATTGTAGATTGCTGTCTTCTCCTTGTGTCTTCATGTGCAGAAAATGGCAAGAGAACTTTCTGGGGTCCTATTCATGAAGGCTCTACCTTCATGATATACTACATGCCAAGGTCCTATCTTTATACCAACACATTGGAGGCATTTTGAGGGAAGGTAGCATTAATTCCATTGTAGAGGCTACTTTTATTTCATCATTCAATCAAGTTTTCAAGAGAAATTTGATCATTTAAATTTTTCAGTTGCTCATGTGAGTAGGAAATTAGGTTCCTTTTATCTAGTCAGGAACTGAGACTTATCTAGTCAGGAGTTCTAGAGAGGTTTGTCACACAATGAGAGTGGTTTCAGTAGTGGTAGAAGCCATGAAGCTATGTTCTATATATTTTTTGCTATAATGACAGATCTCACAAAGTGTTGGAAGAAGTCACATTCAAGAGTTGAATAAACTATTATGTTTCTTATTTCTCCCTCATGTGTGTTTGTGAAATTTAGCTTTTCCCTAAGAAGGAAAAGAAGATTAAATATCCTTTGTCAAAGAGTCCAAGTTAGAGTACCAGCCCCAACCCTCCCCTGCTGCATAAGCCTGACATACAATTAAAAACACACAACTCCAGGTTCAGTTGTGAAGTGTGCCTCCACAACCCCCTTGTTATCACCAAAGTTATTTTTCCCACTATAAGGGAAGTATGGAAAAAAGTCTTTCACTCATTCCCAGCAATCTACTATTATATACAATAATCTGTGGGACCAGCTGATACCTCTGAAATATACATCTTGGTCCTTGTGGTTTCTGCACAGAAAAGGTCTGTCCTTCAAGTGAAGTAAAGGCTGAAGAATGATTAATACACAAATGATACTCAGTAAATATTTGTTGAAATTAAACGGGCAGGTGTGGTAACCTGTCTCTAAAGCTGTTTCCTTTACATTCAGTAATGCCTGGTTTAAAGAGACCATTCTTACATAATTCTCCAACAAAATCCAATCAAGGATGGGCTCCTCCAAATAATGAGATGACATACCAAGCGTGCTACGAAGCCTTGTGCTTTCATTGCTGTGACATCAAATAAACCAGTGTTTGAGTCCACAAACTGTGTAGCTGGGAGCAGAAGAAAGCAACAAAACACAGCTGTTTGGACATGGCCAGAACACAGCTCTGCATGTTATGTAACAGCTCTTGTGTAATTGTGCATTTAACTCAAAACACATTTGTGAAAGAGAAACAATTAGATGTTCTAAAAAGAAAGGAATTGAGAGAGAGAAACGTTGAAAGAGCACAGGACTTTCTATCTGGTCTTCAAACAAGAGATGCAGTGTGGCCAAGTATGCTTGAATGGTATTGCTTTAAAATCTAGAGGTCAGATTCTTGCCAGAACTTCCCTGCCTCCTGGTTTTTGCAAATGAAATTTTATTGAAAACCACATACACTCAGTGATTTACCTATTGTCTATAGTTTCTTTAAGCAAAGTAGTGTAAGTTACAACAGAAACCATCTGGCCCAGAAAGATGAAAATATTTATTATCTGTCCTTTACAGAAAAGTTTGCCAATCCCTGACTTAGACGAATAAAAGGTTAAGCTTAAATGTCTGTGTGAGTCACTGTTTACTTCGAGAACTAGAGAAGCTGATTCTTGAACATATCTGGGAATCCTCTTATGAAGAAGAGGGCAGAGAGGGAAAAAAAAGAGCTCAGATTTTAGAGGCAGACTGTCCTGAAATGAGATGTTTGGCCTTTTACTTATTAGCTCTGTGATGCTAAGCAAGCTGCTTACCCTCCCCATGTTTATAAAATGGGAATACCAGGTAAGTGTAGAAAGAGAAACTGAGGATCCAACACCAGATTCTTAGTTTCACCATCTGAGTCCCATATTCAGGGAGCTGGCCATTTCATTAGGAAGAAATTGTTATTGTTAATCAGAGCATCCAAAGAATTTTATCTTGTTCTTTTTGTAGCTTTTGCTGCAGCTTCAACACAATAAATCATTGTACTGAAAATGGGAGTCCTACAGCTTAAAATTGTTCTTTATGAAATTTTCCAGCTTGAAACATTAAGAATTTAAGTTATCTGGGGTGCTCTTTTAATTCTTTCTTTGTACAATTGTCTATAATAATGACTGATAAATACCATCACTTTCCAAAACCAACGGTTACTTTCATTTTAGATGAATTTTCACAGATGACTTTGCCACAGAGCTAGTTGTGGTGGCTGTGTATGACAGTGTACTCTGAGTCCCTCAAAGACTTGCTGACTTTTCTGCTCCCGTATAAAAAATACAGGTTAGGGCTCCTGTATTCGTATTATGCTTACTTACCCAGCAGAGAAAATACACCTGATCGAATTTCTTATAGTTGATTTAGAGTATGATATAGATAGATGGCCCTTCTTCTGCTAGCAGCAGATTTTCTCCCTGATTTTCTGGGAGATTGATTTTCTGACAACCATATCCTAAGGACATCCTGACTAGGGTCTTCTCCCCAGCAGCTACTGAGAACAAGTGCTCTTACAGACATTTTTTTTTTTTTTAATTCTCAAATTCTCTGATTCCAAGTCTGTCAGAGAACTGAAAGTTACATAGTAGCATAAAAAGTATAAAAAGCCAAAAAAAATAATAACTGGCTTTAGTGGCCAGAACAGCTGTGCAGTATATCCTTATCACAGGTTTTGGCTTTGTAAATTAATTCATCTGTAAATAGTGCACTGTCTCCAGATGCAACTTCAGTGCTGGAGTGCTGGATTCTTAAGGATTTAAGTTTAAAGGCAAAGGCTTCCTGCCCTAGGTGTTACAAATAAGTAGTGTCTTTTCTGTTCTGCTCCAAGTCTGTTCAGCCAATCATATCCCAATATGCAAATAAACTTTAGCCCTGTGCAGATAAAAAGGAACAAATAAAGCCAAGTGCTCTATCAGAACCAAATTGCTGAGCCTGTCACCTGTGTTCCAGGAACCGAATCAGAAATGCTGTCCTCTGGAAAGCCAGACTTACCTACCCCACTCACCAATTTGAAGATTCAATATACTAAGGTTAGTATAATTTGTATGTCTTGCTTTGCCTCGGGTTTGTGAAGAGAACATTTATTTAAAGCATAAAATGTCAAATTAATTAAACTCTGTAAAGAGCACTTTGTAAATACAAAAATAAAAGGTTTGTAAAATGCAGGTCTGAGTTTAGTGTGCTGATCAAATAGTAAATTCTATATCATATCAGACAACTTTTCATAAATTTATTTCTTTAAAATATCTCCAAGTGAAAGGAGTTCTGTTCGGTGTGAAAGGTCCACCTACCAGAAGTCAGTGGACTTTGGTAAGAAGTTCTATTAACTTCAGTACAGCCAGCCTATGTGAAATTGAAGCAAATATTCACTGGAGGAACTTACTAGAAAGAGTCAAACAAATGGGATATTTTTTAAAGGAGAAAAATAGAACACTGAAATAAAACTTTCTTATATTTTTAATAAAATGTGTGTTAACATCAGAGGACTTAAGTATTATAATTGGATGAAAGCTATTTCATAAAACTTCAATGGACTTGTATTATTTTGCATTTTTTGGAAAATAAACCATGCATATTTATTTCTTCAGCCAATTTTTTGCTATGAGAGCAGGAGTGTAATTAATTGTCAACTGATAAATATTTAGAGCAATAAGAACAAAAGCCAGTCCTGGACTTCAAAATCAGCAGCTAAGGAGAAGTAGGAAATGGATCCTGGTGCCGTTGTTGTGAGAGTTTCTCTGAACTTGGCCTATTTCATAGTTAAGTGCCTTTTTCCTCACACACCCCAGAACTCCAAAACAAAAACTAAAACAAACAGAAACAGTCTAACTGAAACCACTTAAATTTAGTCTTAAAGTATTTTGCAGAAGAGTAATAAAGTAAAAAATGAGCTATTGCAACTCAAGAGAGAGTCATTTTGCTTTCTGAATTAACCAATGAAAAAACAAGAGCATTAAACTGAGTACAAGTTCTCTGTGTTGCATATATTTTTCTTACAATAACTGTGAATGTTTTTTAAATCCTAAGGCCAGTTGCATTTTCCTAAGTACAATAAATGAGGAAGCTGCTCAGCCGATTGGCTGCTTTCCTTAGGACAGTGTGAGCAGAGATGAAATTTTGCCTTTAACATGGTTATCAAAGGGTTTGAAGTCTAATAAGGTATTATTTCACAAAGCTGTACTAGAAGGAAAATACTTTACCATTTTTTTTCAAACTCAAACATGAAAAATGTGATGAGTCCCTATTCTCAAACTATTTACATTTGGCTAAGGCATGATCAAAAGATCACAAATCCCAATCTCCCCTACTTTCTTATTCCAATTTGCCATTTTCAAGAAATTTCATTTCAATGTAGGTAAATTTAAAAATATACTTTATGTAGATCAACATAATTGACAATGCTTAGATCATTTCATTATAATTATTAGAAAGGGTTTATTTTTCTATGATACTACCTTGGAAAATATTTTGGTAATCCAGAAGCCCCCTCACCCTTTCTTTAACTTGACTTTGTGGCAATTTGCAAAGTCTTTCTTCCAATGCATATTTCAACGAGACTTTAATGTGAAATAGTCTTTCTACTGAATTAAATTTTATTAAGTTATTTAGTAAACACGTAAGTAACAGTACCAGACAAATGAGATGTTCCTTAAAATCTCAACGCAAGCACATAACTAGTATCCACTAATACAGAAAGCTATTTTTATGATTGAAATCTGTTCACTTCACTCATTGCCCAAGAACACCTTTCTAGGGAAAATGAATGACCTGTATTTTAAAGAAGAAAAGATTCAAAGAACAGGCATTTGGTCTTTGCATATTCACTTTTCCAGGTAAAAATAAGCAATGCAACTCAGCAAATTTTGATTTCTCTTGCATCTTCCATATTAATCTGTTCTGCTAAGACAGCATTTGATTGTCTGACTTACTGGTTACAACATTTTCACACTTGGGAGGACACCAGTTATGTATGTAATTAAATCTAAATGGGTGAACTTTTCTAAATGCCTTTGCATTTTGTTTTTACTGTGTCCCAATGAAGGATTGTATTGGATTCTCACTTGTAAAAGGATTTGAAAAAAATCATGGTTATTAACTAAGTTTTCTGGTTGAACACTAAATAAGTAAAGGTTTTATAGCAGTCTGAGGAATTACCTTTGCTGACCAGCTCCTAAACTTAGTAGTTTTCCTACTGTTTTAATGCCCTTCTTTACCAATGCTAGAAGAATATTGATCATTGGAACAAGAGAGAGGGAAGAGACAAGCAGGGGTGAATGAGGAAACAAAAAAGTACAACTACAATAGAAGAGCTACACACTCTTAAACTTGAGAATGCTTTTCATCCAAACAAAAGAACTCATTGATGCGTATCTTTTTATAACGTACTTTCTAATACACTCAGTTTATTTCTTTGTTGAGGTAGATGAAACCGAGATTAGAGTTTAAGAAATGTTTTATAAAATGATACAAAAGCTTTTGGTATTTAAAACTTCAATAACATCATAAATCCACATGAACTTGGATCCCATCCCTATCCTCATTATTCCCCTTTCCAATTATAAATGAATCCCACATCTGCCAACTCATCCTTTGTATTGAGTCTTTACATGAAGAGCTCTTTGAAAGTTATATGACCATTTGGCAAACTATACTACCAAGATCTACCTCTCTTTCCTCACAAATAAAGTGGGGATTATCAAGGTACTCATTTCCTAAGGTGGGTAGAAATATTAAATGAATTTAATGGCCATAAGTGCTTGAAACTGCCTAGCATAGGGGAAGTGATTGACTAACATTAGCTATCCTGGTCCTATTTGTTTATCTGAATCTTTTCCAGTTTCCCCAGAAGTTTTCCTTTTACCTGACCTTTCCTAAACCTGTTTCCCACAAGGGTGCCTCTCACCTCATTTTCTTCCCCTAGATTTTCTTTCCCTCTGTCTTGCACAGTCATGTCCCACCTGACAAAGACTGCACTGGAGTGAAGTTCTAAGGGTTTATCCAGGATTTCAGGGATCAAGAATTTTCTCTTACAGGATTTGGTAACTTTATTTTCCATTTTCTTTTCACATACCTTAAAAAAAAGACAACTAGGAAATTTAATCAGAGAAGCTTTCTCAGATAGGGTTCAAATCTCAAAATGTTTCACTTGATTATTAAATAATAGTTTGTTCTTGCCAAAAATTTCATAGCTAATGACATTTTATACACACATATATATATATTTTGCATATTTGCATACACAAACACAGGAAATATTTGTAGCTAAAATTTACTGAATTTATTCTACCAGTGACTGCTTTAAGTTCTTCACAATTATTTAATTCACTCACTTACAATAACCCTGTGAGGAGGTGACTATTTCCATTTTAAGGATGAGGGAACTGAGGAACAGAGTGGCTAAAAAAACTTGCCTGAGGTTACACAGCTAGTAAGTGACAAAATTAGATTTTAATGCTAGCAGGCTGAATCCTCATATGAACAAGTAACTTGCTTAAGGTCAACATTATTACATTGGGACATAAAATCAGAGTGTTGTGACAATTTCTATTCTGACTTCCATTTGCCCATTTCTGATTACTGGAGGGTACATGACCATGACTCTTTCCAGTTGCTGCTCAGTTGTCTCTAGGCCAACAGAAGAATGTCTGCCATCAATTTAGAGAAAAAAGGAGAAGGATAGGGAAGGTTGGAATGAAGTCTTTCTGCTTTGAATGAAAGATGGGGTGGACTAAGTGTGGCTCAAATGGTAGAGCACTTGCTTAGCAAGCATAAGACCCTGATGTCAAATCCCAATACTGAAAACAAAAAAAGGAAGATTTGTTTGTGTTGGGAGAGGCTGTTGAGGCATAAGACTGATTTAAGTGCACAGTTTCCATGTGAACTACATTTGTTCAACATCTACGGATTGCATTTTGATTAGAGGAGGCAATTGCTTCCCTGCATTTCTGATTTTTTTAAACTTTCCGTGTTAAAATATATTTTCAATAAAGCAGAGTTATGAATCACTGGATATACAAGACACACATTGCAGTATTGAGGGTTTTTCGTTTGTTTCTTTGTTTTATTTTACTTTGTTTTCCATAGCATTACCTCTTTTTAAATTCTTACATCAGGCAAATTTAGGCCACATTCATTTTCAAATACCCTCCCTTCACTTAACTTTCCCTTTCCCCTACTTTTTCCTTTTCATTTATTTAATAAAGTTATTGAGTGATTGTTCTGTGCTAAATCATGCACAAAGGCTAGTCTGAGCCCTGTCTCATGGAGATTGTATTCCTAGAGAATGTGTGGGGGGGGGGGATGGGGAGGGCAGAACAAAAGCAATCAGAAAATAATCAGAAATTATGATAGGTGTGAAAGAAAAGAAATTGATAGCTGAAAACTTTGTGAAGTGCTTACTTTTGATGAGAGTATTAGGAAGAATCCATTTAGGTAAAGGACATTTGAGGTAAGCCTGAGAGATACACAGAAGAAGATAACCATATAGACTGGGTAAGAACAAAGATCAAGAGATAACAATACAGACAAAGACCCTGTGACAAGAGCTTGTTGTGTTCAAAGACTGTCAGAAGTCTACCATGATTGGAGTAAAATAAATAAGAGAAATAATGTGTAGATTAGACTAGAGACACAGTGAGAACACATTGGCTGATGGAGTTTATTTGAAGGAAGCCACTGAGGGGTGCTTAAAACAGGGCAGCACTTGTGATCAAGTTCAAGTTGATTGTGCTATAGTACTGTTTTCATTTGAGAAATATTTTTAACTTCTGACTAAAGTAATATTTTGTTTTTATGGGGCTTAGAAACAGTTGAAGGAATAGCTGAATACCTGCAAGGTACAGTAGTTTTAACAAGATCAACTTGATTCAAGTTTTATACTTGAAGTTTTTATACTTGCTTAAAAATATGACCTTGGCCAAGCTTCTAATCTTCCTGAATTTGAGTTACCCTAACTGTAAATTTGGAATAATAGCCACTACCTTATGAAATGATTTTGAAAATGAACTCACAGGGATATTTGAGGTAATTT